CGTTGCCTATTACTTTTACCAAAAAAACCAAACTAACGACTAGTCCATGACTAAAAGAAAAACCAAAGAATGTATAGGGTGCGGAGATAACTTCCTCACTTTTAAGAATTATGATTACTGTGCTGACTGCTCGATTAATGGTAATCGCTACCTCACTAAAAGCAATTGCTCGGAGTGTGATGGTAGCGGTATCATCAAATTCCGTGGTCAAAAACCCCGACCCTGCAAACTTTGTTATTTAACTAAAACCAATATGAATAAACAAACCCAAAACTTTTGAGACCAAGTAAACTTACTGGCTCAAGAAAAGATTCATCACCTCTTTACTAATAATATCCCTTTCCAAAATATCAAACTAATTACTGAACCTTGAAAATTTGAAGACCGGCAACAAAAGTTAAGTGGCTTATTCCTAAGAAGAGATGCTGATTATCGGACTTTACTAGTTGACACTGAAAACCAGTATGCTGAACAAGACTTACCGAATAAAGAAATAATGGCCGAAGAAATTGCTCTCTGATATTGCCGAATGGTCATTAAGTCTCTAATTACTGATTTAAGTAATTATGCTGGTTATGAGTCTTCCCTTTTTTCCAATTTAACCACTAGTGAATACTAATTACGACCAACCCTTAGGAGTTATCGATAAACAAACCCATCGCTATTTGTCCTTAACCAAAGCCTATCCTCAACGACACTTCATCTGCGACAGTTGTGGAATTGAGTATCAGTCCGCTACTTTTTACTCTCTAGCCTATCACGAAAGTGAATTGCCTTACGCTAGAGTCTATTGTGAAAACTGTCTCCAAGCCACTCCTGCGGGTCGAAAAAGACTTCAACTAAATCCAAACCAAAAAATTATGCCAAAAATAGAAAAAACCAAAAACAAAAAGACTAAAAAACTAACTAATTTACCTATTAAAACCAAGACTTCCAAAGTCTCTCCCGTTGACTATTATAACTGCTTACTCTTAAAAGCTCAAAATGACTGACGAGACTCTTCCGGTAAAAAGAAAAAAATCACGGCTTGCTGTAAAGATTGTAAAGCCAATGCCCCAGTTTTAAACAAACAAAGACAGCAAGAGATTAACAAGTTAGTAGTCTCTTATCACCAAGTTGGAGAAAGCCTTAAAAAACTTCTCAAACCCCTTAAATAATTATGAACAAAGAACCCCTAATTTTAATGACTGGCATTGGCTTAGTGGGCTATATTGTTTTTCATGGTCATCGCACTGGACAAGACTGCTGATTATGCCCTTACAAAGGATTAGTTTTTGCTGGAAGTAGTATGGCCTTAGGAGCCTTTTTAGCTCTTAACGAAAATTAAAAAATTATGGACTGCTGCGAATTAGCTCTCTTTAATGCTAGATTAGCCTTATACATCGCCTTAGGAGGTTTTGGAACTATTGCTTTATTAATATTAGCGTTTTTTGGTTATAATCTGAAACTAGGTTGACGCACCGCTAAATTGGAAAAAAAGAATGGCCACGAACAAAAGCAAATTGATGAATTAAAAAAAGCCTTGGCTCAATTAAAAGCCCGTGAATAAATGCCTCTTCTGTCAAAAAAGAAAACCTCTATCTCGCTCTTACTTCTGCTGATGATGCTGTCTAACTCAATTACCTTGACACTAACCTAAATTAACTTATGACTAAATACCTCTTAATTTTAGCAGCAATAGTCCTCATTGTTTACTACTATTACCAAACTAAACCTGAACCTGAAGTTTGGTATGAGGCTCAAGAAGAACTCTAATCATGACTAAACAAGAACTTCAAAAAGAATTAAAAGAAAAAGTCAAAGAGGGAGTTAAACCCAGTGACATTAAGAAACTTAAACGCTCTAAATCCACGGGAGATATCCCTAATGCTATTCCCATAGCCCCTCCCCCTCCTAATCTCTTACAAGACCAACTAACCCAAAAGCAAACCGAGCTAGAAAGTTTAAGGGCCGAATTAGAAAAAGTTAATCAAGGGTTAAAAGAAACTAAGCAACAATTAGATGACTCTTTAACAGCTCGTATTGCCGGAGTAAAAGTCTTCGGTCAAGAACATTCCCAAAGAATTAAGTCTGAACAAGAATTAACTGAAACCATTGACCAAGCCAGTTCAGAATTAAATCAAGGTGATAATCAAATCACTAAATTAAAAACTCAACTTTACCAAGCCCAACAGCAAGTCAGTAATTTACAACACCAATTAAATTTAGCCCGTCTTAACAAAAACAGTCCCTTACTTACTCCCACTAATTTAGAAACTAATCTTGACTACCTTCCACTAACTCTCTATGCTCTGTTAGCAGTCTGAATTATCTTATTTTTAACTCACTCGCGAAATAAAACTCATGATTAAAAACACTCTTATCATCGCTTTAGTAATAGTAATTATCTATCTTTACTATCAGCAAAGACAAAATACTCTGGCTACTTTTACTGGCTCTGCTTCTCCGCAAGAACTCCAAGAAGTCAAAAAAGTCAATAAAATCTTTGCTGACTTCTGCCGTAATGATATCGGAGGTCAAGACATCAATGAAATCCGCACTAAACTAAATGGTCGCACTCTTTCAGAAATCTTGGAAGAGAATGATGATTATGAAACCAAAACCGATGAACTAACTCGTAAAAAAGGAGAGTTAGAAGCCGAAGTAATTATGCTGACTAATTCTCGTAAAAATCAAGTCTCAGAAAAAGAAAGAATTATTACTCGCTTAGAGCAAGAGAAAAAAGATTTAACCAATAAAGTAAGCAAAAAAGCTAAACAGTTAGATGAAGAACAATTAGAACATAAAAAGACTTTAACCCAACTAGAAACCCTCACCCAAGACTTAACTAATACTCGTCAAGCTAACCAAAAACTATTAGAGGAAATCAAACCTCTCGATGACTTAACTCAGCAACACCAAACTCAATTACGCCAAATTAATGCTCTCTTTGACCCCCAGGCTAAGGATTATCCCACCATTGACTTTAATGGCTTATATAAGGTGTTAGAAACTATTAAGCAAGAGAGAGAGAGAGAGAGAGAGAGAGAGACAAAAATAGCTCACCCTCCGATTTACAGCAAACACCGAAAGCAGAAGAAATAAAAGCTATGGAACAAGATTTAAAAACTCTGACTTTGGAAAAATTAAACTTTTTGCAAGCCCGAGAACAAATGGATGAAAGCATTGGCAAAGCCCGCTCTCTATTCTGACAATTACAAAGCTTCCTAAACACCAAAAACAAAAAAGCCGTTGCAAAAGTAATCCAAGAGATGAAAACTAACCCTATCTTTCAAGAAAATATCCCCTAATATTTACAGTCAAAAAACCTAACTCATGAACAACTTATTATTCACCGCTCTCTTAATCGCTCTCCTCTATTACTTCTTTTATTACCTACCCAATCAAAAAAAACCAACTGCTAACCTACCCTTAAAGCATCATCAATCTACTCAAACGGAAGAATTAGAAGAAAGCATTAATCATCATGAACCAGGAATGATTGAATTTCCTAGTCCTCAATTTAAAATAGCTCCTAAAGAATTAGCAAACTTAAAAAAAGATATCCAACAAAAAGATCAACAAATTACTGAGTTACAATCCCAAATCAGAGAACTAAGTAAAAGACCTTTAAAACCTACTAACTCCAAAAGCACTCAAACTTCCGATTCCGAACTAACTAATACTCTTGACATTCTCATTAAAGATATTCAAGACTTAAATAACTCTCTTCAAAATGATTAAAGACCAATTAGAACTACTTATTAAAGAATTTAACTCTTTAAAAACTAAAATCAAAGCTAAACTCCAATCTCAACAACAAACTATCACCCAAACCCAAACCAAATTAAATGAATCCAATCATAAACTTGAACTCCAATTAAAAGAAAGTAGTGAAAATGAAAAGGTTTTAGAAACCCTATTAAAAGAGTTTGAAGAGTTAGAGCAGGAATTGAATTAACATGGTTCAAGCTCAAGACTGATTAAATAATACTTTTCCCAGTTCAGTTTCTAGAAAAAAGATAACTCATCTTTTAGTTTCAGCACATGATCCTACTTGATTATTATTAGAAGATGAGGAAGAACCAACTAATACTTGAAAGAAATTTAAGGCCCCTTTAGAAGGAACCTTAGACCTTAATGATTTTGTTAACTTAGAGAAAGTCTATTTAGGCGGGGGAAGCCTTACTGGACTAAAAATTAACCAGTGTAAGAAACTAGCATACTTGGATATAGCAACTCAATATTTTTTAACTTCAATAGATATTGGCAATAATGAGAATGAGATAACTTTAAAAAGTTGAGGACTGACACCATTTAAATCTTTAACTAACAAATTACAACTGGTAAAAAAGAAGTTAACTAATTGAACTAAATTAATTAAGCATGCCTAATTCCAAAAAAGTATTAAAAAGTTGAACTACTCTCAAAAACCAAATCTTAAAAACTCTTACGGAACTAAAAACTAATCATAAAGATAATTGAGCTTTAGTAAAACCAACTGCTATTAATTGAACTCAAGTTCTAAATGATGCTGAAATAAAAAGCAATATTGCTGAACGAGAAAACTTAATTAAAACGCTGAATGAAAGACCCAATAACCAACTATTATCTCCTGCTGACCAAACTAAACTTGACCAAGCAAAAAGAGAAATAACACTACTTAAAAAAAGGCAGAATACCACTATTACCCAAATTACCCAAATCTCAAATGACGATTACTTTCAACAATTAAGAATGGTTAATGAAAAGATTGACCAACTAAACCATAAACTCAACTGATTAAGAACCTTAGTCAGAGCCGGAGATATCCAACAATTACAAGAGTTAGTCCGTCAAGCTAAGATTTAACCTACCCATTTATATCCTAATATGTCCAACTCCCAATTAATCCTACTTTTAATAATTATAATAGTCTTTTATCTGTTTCTTAAAAAAAACTGACCCTTATCAAGACTTTAAAAAGTGATTAGACCGCCATCCGAACCAAAAGCATAAATTAGGTCAAGAACTTTGTGATGAAATCTTTATCAGACCAGAAAGCCAAGAAGCCTTTGCTTATTGTTGAGAGATAGCAGTTAATCAAACTCCCATTCCTGATGACTTGCTCTCAGGAAATAAGATTCTAATCCCTATCATTCGAGAATATTTAAGAGAACAAAAAGGAGTAATAGTTAAGAAGTAATAAAACTAATTTATAACCTACCAAATATATTTATATTTACCCTTACCCTTATGCCTAACAAACAAACTAAACCAATTACTACTTCAAAAAAGAAAACTACTAACAAAACTAATAAAGTAATCAAAAGAACTAAGCGCGAGAAAGAAGAGTTTAAAAAAGTCCTAGCTGAAATAGAAAGTCCGCAAGATTGAGGGAATGGTTCTTGAGCTTTACCTCGCAATGCCACTACTGCTGAAAAAGTAAAATACGAAATTTGTGAGAAACTCCTAGCCTACCAACAAGACCATAACCTAACTGATGAGGCATTATCCAGAAAAATCCATTTAACTCAATCCGAAACTGAAGATATTCTGTTTTGTCGGATCAGTAAATTTACTTTGGATTACTTAATAAATATTGCTAGTCAATTATTTACTACTTCTGAAATAGGATTAACTATTGAACCAAAAAGAAAAAGATTTTATCGTGCCACAGTTTAAACTACTCAGTTCGAAATTTATTGAGGGAGAGCAAAGATGAACTTATCTAATTAAGTCTAATTTC